CAGCCTGATTTCCACATGGCTCCATGAAACAAGGGCTTGCTTGGGTTGACATGCATGGACTTACCATGACACCTCAAACCCTGCTCGAAGCCCTTGCCTGCAAGGCGACGTCGTACAGCCTTGCATTGTGGGGCTCTCTGCTGCGAAAACTCTCCCAACAACTCTCAGCATGGACGTGGCTGTTCGAAAGGCAAACAAGAGGATTACTGCTGTCTGCTACATTTGGTTCGCTGCAGGCCGGATACGAAGCCACCGACAGGCGTTGACTGGAGGGCGATGGCGTCTCCACCTCCCAGATGCTTTGCCAACATTTCACAGGGCCTTTCTTCAAACGTTGGGACCCTTCGCCGAGCCTCCAGCGAAACATAGCTGGCCGAGGCACCACCCCAAACCTCCACCACAGCCACCTCCGAAACAGCTGTCAGGAACACATCAACATCCCGTGCTCGCATCTCAAAGGTCTCATTGCAAGTTGGAGCATGTTGCAGGGGGAGCTTTCCGGCTAGCGAAAAACTACCATGTTCCATGCCCCTGTTTTGTGCCGGCCTGGGATGGGTCTGGCGAGAGAGGAATGCGCTGAGGCAGCGCTACGAAGCCAACCGAGCCGAGTATGGTATGCTCTGCGTCGTAGATCGTCGCATTCCTGGCGCAGACACACGTGCGGCGAGTGGTGAATGGTCGCTGCTGCGGGAGTACAGTGCGAGTGAAGAATACACGCAGCATCACTATGACACACAATGCTTTGTGCCGGCGTCCTCACTTCACCAGATCCAGTCAGGTGGATGGCAGAGGCAAGCCAAGTCCTCCATGGCAAGCAGAAGATCAAGTCAGTCTTCTACCCATCCCAGATCAGGCAATCAGAGCAGAAAAGCCCTGCAAGCGTCTGTTGTCCCACTTGGTAGACTGCGATCGTGTGAAAGTGAGACCAAGATGGCAAGAGCTATGGCAGCTTCCCGAGGTGCTGGCTGGAAGTAGGCCGGCGGACAATCGCAGGAGCAGTCTGCCTGACGGAGCAAAGTACCTGTGGCGCAGTGGAAGCATGCAAGGTCCGGCCAACGCCATCTCGACTTGCGAGAGTTTCCAGAGTTCGTTTATGCTATGCTCTGACTTGAAACGCTGTTCACGGAAACCATAGCCCATCCCCGTGACCCGTTCTCACTGCTTCCGAGAAGCCTGGGCAAGCTTCCACACAGATTCCAGGCAATGCACCGCAAAGCTCATAGCCCGTTCGGCACTCTGATTGCTCCGAGCTGGTGTTGGGAGCCGTGAGCCTAGCAAAGTGCTCTCACAGCCATTCAACTCCGATGTTTCGAGGTGGAGGGCCCCAAAGCGAGCAAAATGGGGCGTGGCGAGGTCGACCTGAAACTCTTCGGACTCTTCGGCCTGGGCAAGGCCTGGCACGTGGAACCCTCCAGCTGCTCAAAGGGCCTCAACTCAAGAAAGGCGAGGGTCTCGCTGATGCCCCCCCACCCCGCTGCACGGCCACTTAACTGCTGGCTCTCACTGCAAGTGCTGACACTGCAAGCCGGCAGGCATCACCGCAAACGTGCGAAGCTTTCATGCTTCTCCATCGGCCGAGGGTCGAATTGCAGGCCGCGCGGCGTCGCAGCTCCGAGATCTGTGACCCGAGCGTCAGCCCGTCCAAGGCTTCATGGTGCACACGCCTGGATTCGGCAGTGTTGCTTTGGTGTGCATGGCTGTGCTTGCTGCGGTCTTGAACGTAGATCAAACGCTGGGAATCCGGGAAGGTGTGCTCGACATGCCCTTGACTAACCTCTCGCGCACTCTTACCTGTGACTGACCAAGCTAAGCAGTCCACACTTCATCCAACTGGCCCGTGTACAAGGGCAGGTCATAGTAGGGTCTGCCGGCAGCGAGGAGCTCCGGAAAACCTTTCAGTGGCTCCAAATCTGAAGCTTCGCCCCGGCCCCAAAACATGCATCTTGCACATCTTGCACATCTTGCCGGCGAATGGCGTTTCACGTTGACGGGCCCGATATGAAAAACATCCCGGTGTGCTGGAGCGATGTAGGGGGCTTCGAGGATGTCGATCAAAGACACGACACGGTACCCTGAGGATGCCAGCTCCCCATCCTCAATGGCCATGGGTTCAACCAGATTGGGAAATGCAACGACAATGATGCCGAGGATCGACGAAAAAGAAGACATTGTGCGTCGATGCCAGATTTGGGGTGACCACCACAGACACGTGGCGCCAAGCTTGTCGGCTGTTGTCCCAGTTAACAGGGTTCGATGCGATCACGCTGTCCTGCACATGCTTCCAACTCAAAGTGTCCATCTACTTTGTGCTTACATGTCGTCATGCCGCCACACCACACCTCTGCGCTCAGATGCGAAGCCAAGGTGATGCGGCTGTGATAGAAAAGAAGCCTGGGAAAACACAGCGCACATGCGGAGCGGATTACAGCCAATTCATGCACTTGTGCTGGCAACTCGCCAATTCAGCATCTTGGGCTCATGCTGTGCCTGGCCAGACGAGCTTCGGCGCAAAGCCAGATACCTTCTGTGCTGCTACTGCGCTGCATTACACACGAATCGCATCTTTGTCGCACACTGGCCGAGATAACTAGGCATGATCTTTTTGTCCGTGCAATTCCTACAGCAATATGCGGTAGTTGGAATACAACCGAGGCACCATGTGGGGAAGCTGCCGACGAGAACCGCCATACTGCTGGAGCTGGTGCTGCCTGGCACTGCACTCCATATGGGTCAGACTTCTCCAATTCACTCTAGTTGCAGCTGCTGCGAGTTGCCACAGACTTTGGCAGGCCTACAGGTATGGCATCCAGCGATATGTTCACAAACAGCTCCACAGTAAAAGGAGCCGTCATTGCCGCCGCCGCATTGCCTTGTTTGGCACCGAGATGCTGAAGAAGCGGTGTAAAGGTGTAAACCCAAAAAGAACAACAGTCGCTGCGTTTGTTACTGAGCAAGGCAACTCCTTAAGTTCAACAGTGCATGGCGAGCATCCGATTGAAGCAGGCACTGCCATAGGAAACGCAAGAGTGATCTCACAGCCATCTGGTGCACCATGCCCTGCTGTGGTAAAGTTTGCCACTGCATTGAACAGCTCGTCCTCAGGTTGGAGTAGGAGCTCAACTCGCATCATGCCGGACGGGTTGAAGGTGGCTCTTTGAGTCGAGCATCGGACACCCCCTCTGGCCCAGAGCAAGCTTCCCAAGTATTGCTGCCTGAGCAGAACATGTCACGTCATGTCACAACGGAAGAAGAGGGATCCGCAGGACCAGGCCCGGTGGAGCTGGGGCCGCCGCATGCGGGAGAGAAGTAGCCGTGGGCCACTGGAGCGCACGATCGGCTCCAAGGATGCTCATCGGCCTTAAGATCATCTAAGTAATCCACACTGAACACATGCTAGACACCATGACACTCTGCCGCATGACAATCAGATCCTTGCCTTCTCGCAGATAAATGGGCACGAACTGTTCGGCCAACCGAAGAGGTAGAAAATACCATTTCCATCCACAGGGTCACATGCCTCCAGAATCAGGCAGTGTCATGATGATGAAACTTGATTGCAGCACCGAACTGATCCATGCGTCCACTGACTGCAACGGTGCCTGCAAAACTTCGCTGGCTGCCCAGAACCCAGCAGAAGCTTGGCTGCATAGCTGGAAACTGCAGGACAAAGCCCTCGGCAAAAGCGAGATCGAAGACTGTGTTCTGGACGTGTCACAAGCGAAAACAACCGGCAAAGGCAGTCAGCTTAGAATCAATTGCTTCGCCGACCCGACAGCACCATCAGGCCCGATGACTTTTCTCAATCTGTGTCAAACCACTGAGAGAAGCCTGCCTTCTGAATCCGTGATGGTCACACAGAGCGGCCTTGCTTAGAGCCATCGACCTCTCTGCATGCATGGCTACACCTTCACGAGACAACACAATTTCCGCCGCCACTGACATGTCCTTGTCATCGGTTGCAAGTCGTGCGAGGGCTCTCTACGAGATCCGTCCGCCTACTTGGTCTTTAAAATGCCATCCGGTCGCCGATAGCAGCCGATCTCACAAGTCTCGTCACACGTGGCACTTGGGCAGGCCTGACAGAAATTTGCTTATCTTCACAACATCTCCTGCCCATCGGATGCAGGAAGCAGGAAACGTGGATGGTTCGATATCACCGGTCGATGCACACGGAGGCTACATCTTTGCAAACGGCCTCAGCCAACCTGCAAATCATCTCTGGCTTGCAGATGCGCCTCCCCGTCCATGCTGAGACTTGCCAGCTGGAAGAGCTGCTCGCTAGTGCAGAGGTTCAATGACTCCTGGCCGCAAGGCTGATTCTTCATCCCATTGCAACAGCTTCTGCTGCTTCGCCTGAAGCTGCAATTCCATCGTGGTCAGTCCGATGTGTGCATTTGCAGAGATGACTTGCTAAGACCAGGACATGGTATGTTGTCTACGTGTACTTGCTGTTGTACTTGCGCACAGCCCAATGTCTCTTTCGTGCAGATTCGTGCACACAACGACCTTGTGGTGAAGTTCAGGCGAGGTGTGGCCATCTTAAGCGGCTGCGAGAAATGAGCTTGCCACACGATGCAAGGCCACCTCCACCTCGGGCGCCGAGCCCCGGAGCGTCATCTCCTGAACAGCGTGCAACTGGATGACCTGGCATTTTCTGACAGCGGTTTGCACGAGACATTGGGAAACTGCAGACAAGTCTGGCCTGGTCGCCTGATGTGAAGGCGGATGTTGCTGTGCCAGTTCTTGTTGCATAGTCGGCGAAGGGGCCAACAAACGCAAGACCTCGGTCGGGGGTTGCCTTGCAGGCAGCTACTTTTTACGTGTGCTGCTGATACGTGCCAAGTCTCTTTTCGAGGTATCCGACTGCCTCGGGGTGTCCCCAGCTTTGGCTACACTACACCAGAGACAAGATTCAACATGCACTGCACGTGCCAGGTCGCATGTGTCGCTGCTCGCCATTGACGGCGAACAGTTCCGTCGCCGACTTGAAAGCAGCGTCGCCGGCATATGGTGCGGCAGACAGCACTTCGTTCGCTGTGGCGTTGAAGAGGCGGCCTCGGACACGAGGTCTCCGAAGGAGCCACACAGAAACCTGTTCGACATCAGCCTAGACACCGCAGAAGTCCAGAGACAGAAGCGGCCGAGTGCTAGCGACCAGCGCCACGGAGGCCTTGAGCCCATTGAATGCACTATCAAGGCCGCCACTTTCAGTTTCACAAACCATACCCGGGCCTGTGGTAGTCTGTCTTTCGCATCCTGCAAGACACAGGATCTGAGCATGGAGAGGCAATTACTGGAAAGGAAATACCAGAGGATTGCAGGCTGCAGGGCGTGGGAAGCTATGAAGAAGTGGCAGCATCACTCGTCCTGGAGACGGTCGCTTAGACAGCGTCGTAGTGGTGTTGAGGCCGACAAGCCGCTGGGAGGTGGGAGCACCTCCACGAGCTTCGTGAAGATGCCTCGCTGTTTGATGCAGTTGCAGAGCACTGTAGTAAGTGGGGTGTGCTGGAGAGAAGCGGTTTGCAGGATCGAGGAGGCGGGGCTTGGCGAAGGGATGCAACAAGCACTGGACCTGAATATCCCCAACCGTGAGCCATTCCAAAGCCAGCAGGCCATTCGCCGCATCCTGCACGCTGTCCACAGCAGAGACAGCAGCTGTGCGCGGAGAGAACTTCATCTCGCAGTTGACTTCTGCAATGGCGGCCAGGGCTGCTGCCTGATTGTGATCACAATGGAAACCTTCGGCGTTGATGACTGTGGTGGCGGTGATGCCCGCATTTGTATCATCACCATCGTCATCAGTCTGTAACAAAACAAACACCTACCAGTACTCGGCCAGCTCCAAGCCTTGGCAAACACTCAAAACCTCTGGACACAAAAGGACTCAGCCCCAATCCACAGCGAAGGAAGGGCGGGAAGCACCCCATGGAGCAAAATTCGGAGAAGCTCGACATGTGACTAGATACGGCTAGTTCTGGCTCCTCCTCAAGATGCACCAAGACTCCATGCCAGCAGGTTTGTTTGCAATGGTGCAGGCTTCAAGCATGCAGTCAGTGCTCGCGAGGTTTGCAGCCTGGAGCGCCAGCGATGCCCCAACAGCCAAAGCTTCCACTGCCCGGCGCAGGAAGTCGAACTGCGTGAGGATCATGACCTGACCTGATCAAACTGTTGCTGTTGCGGAGTAAACGAGCCTAGTCACCACGGACCGTGCTACAAAAAGCACCTACAGTCAAGCGACACTTCCGCCAAGCTCAGTACACACGAACGACATGGCCCAGCTCGCAAAGTCAGCATCGTTTCTTCTCATCGCTTCTGTCCTGCATTCCCTTCTACCACGATGATTATCCTTGCTGGTCCGTTCGAACAGCTGTGGTCATGGCCGGCATCCATGCCGGCGAACACATCGTCCTGGCAGATGCAGGCTGCAACTACGGGTTCAGTCATGTACAAACACACACTCACGCACACACGCACTCACTCACTCACACACTCACTCACTCACTCTCGACAAGATGGGCGGGCGTACTCTTAGTTAGATTTAGTTACATCGAAACCTAGATGTTGTTGTTTGTGCGCCTTGCTTGAAAACTTGTGCATGGCAACAACACACAGACTGGAACCTCTCCGGCCAACTCGCCACACAGTCACAAGCTCACCCTCATCAAAACGAAGTCGTTGAATTTGTCGTCCTTTTCGAGCAAGCCTGGCTCCATCAAAGTTTTGCGACTGCCGTCCTGATTGCATGTGATCTCTCCACCCATCTTGACTCGGTACTGTCACTGATCGGACAAAGTATCCAACGAAAGACTCGGTTGTTCGCCTAAAACTTTTTGAGCGGCGAATAGCCACTCTTGTTGGTGAGCGTCTGGAGCCTCCAGCTCACCTCGCAGATCATCGTTTCGATCTCCTCGATCGTTGACGGCTGGATGAGCTCCTAGGTGCGGTAGTACACTTGATTGAACCTGCCACATCGACGCTCGACCACGGCAATCGCAAAGGGTGCGTCGAGAGAGTCGAGAGACCTCCAGGGGAAATAACCCCATGTCGTTCCCTGGGGCATCGATCAAGCCAACAGAACTGTGGAGGGTGCCCAGACAGGTGACATTGAGCACCGGGTGGTCCGCTTTGGTTCCCAGCCCATGCGCGAACAGTAGATCCACACCGATCACCAGGTTGAAATCGTATCTCCTTGGGGTCGCGGCCGGCAAACTCGTGGTTCAAGCGCCTCAGGTAGCTGTTGTGAACAGTCCGTTGGTGGTAGTGGTTCAAGCGCTCCCGGTAGTCGTTGCTGCAAAAGCATCCGGCCTTGAGGAGTGATGGCCTGAAGCACAACCCGATGACACTTCACACAGAGCCGAGTTCCCGTCGCCAGAACAAGCCGATCCGCATACTCGGGCCAGTGGTACGGACATCCCCACGTCTTTTCCGAGCACATCCGCAAGAATCCAGTTCTCCTCTCGGCGGAGATATAGGTGAAGTCCCCCACGTGGTCAATGAGAGCATCGCTGCATCAGCGCAGGTGGCTCCATAAGCTCCATAGATGCCTTCACTGAAGCCGCATCCTGCTTCCACTATCCCAGCATAGGACCCATAGTCAGTGCCGGGGTCGGACTCGACTGGCTTTGTTGCCCGTATTGGTGTTCTTCTCTTGCTTGCACTCCTTCTGCGGCGTCTGGTAGTCTGGGCGCTGGGTAAATCAGCACCTCGTTGCATATTTGGAGCTTGTCGCGGGTCACCTTGGGGATCTGCTCCACCAGGTTGCAGCGAAGGCACTTGGTCCAGCAACATTCCGCGTTGGCGAGATCATCAAAGATGCCGTCGTTGGTCTCGTAGAACGTGCCATAGCCGTCATGGTGGTAATCGAGGCCGGAGTAGTCGCGGTAGGGGTCGTTGGGGTCGTAGACCATCCCGTCTTGGTAACCCCAATCCTCTCCTCCATCTCCATCTGGTTCCTTCTGCCTGTACGCCTGACCGCTGTGATGCTCCTGCACCTCATCCACAGCATCTCCGAAGATCGATCTGATCGCCTCCTCGATCTTCCTGAACTGGATGCTCCCGTCGATGAGCAACCTGATCCGTTCTCTCAGGACAAGGCGTCTCAGCAGGTGCTCCACCGCTGATCGGCGAGTAGATCTAGTCCTTGTTTCTTCCTTAGCGGAGCTCGCCTAGGCCTGGCCTTCTTGGTGGCAAAGAAGCCGGAGATGGTTTGTCCTTGTCGTTGGCACCCCCGGAAAATTGCATCGGTCAACGCTTGGTCAAGCTTCTGCACTTTGAGATAATCGCGCGCATCGTCTATGCACTGGACGACCTCCTTCCAACCGTTCTCAGCCGTGATGTCTTCCACCGAAAGGTTCTGATACAGAAGACAACCAAAGCTTCAGCTTGCGCGCATACTCACAGCACTGCTGCTCGGGACGTTCACGGTCCGAGCCTGGAGCTCCTTCCATCCGGTAGTCCCGAGGAGTGGCCCCACCAGCTCCACTGCTGGCAAACCCTTCTGCACAGGCACCCTCGGCGAAGAAGGTCGGATAGGTGCCGTCGGACTTGTCGGGCCACCTCCAGGGACAGCGGCATCTCCTGATCCCGGAGCCATTGTCTGCGCTTGGGCTCAAACACAAAACGTCATTCCACAAACCAAGGATCACTCCTAAAGGCTTCCCACGAGCGGCGAGTACTCAAAACTTCTTCCAGAAAGCCCACACGGCCTTCCGGGGACCAAGCTCCGCCCCCAAAGCCAGGCAGTCTTGCCTTAAACAGACCTGATCCGGTCAAAAAAGGTAGAGAAATCGAGGTACACTTTCTCAAGAAAAGATTACCTTCCCCGCACGCTGAAAAGTAGCCGGGGACCTCGTGAGTGAGCGCTGAGCTCGCCAGGGCGTCCCTTGGAAGTGATGCCAGTGGCCTGTGGATCGCTGGTCGTCACCAACGCTCGGTTACCATGTAAGACGCAACCTAACTGGCAGCACGGGCGTAACCTTTTCCTTCGAGACTCAAGTCAAGGCGCCTTCGGCACAAACTTCTGATCCAAGCAAAGTGCTTCGGCAGCCCCCTCTTGGATGTACACAGCTAAACAGGATGCGACACTGACACGAGCTGATTATCATCCCTTGCAAAGACGTGTTTCATGCTTTACGCTTTGTACGTTGCAGGTACACATCGGTGGCCAACCGATGCTTCCC